TGCCTGTGTTGCTGCGGAGGAGGAAGAGGGAGGGGGAGGGAAAGACCCATCGCCTCCCTCCCTCACTTGGATTCGCCTATGAATTAAAAAAAAATTTTTTTTTGGCATTTTAGAATAAACGAAAAGGGAAAATCGTCTATGTTTCGACATCGCACTTGTTAAAATACATGCGAAATTTGTGTGTTTGGTTGAAGTATTTCTTTTCCTTCAGCATATTCTGTTTGTTTTTTTACAGGTCTCAATGAAATGCTGGATGGTAACAAGCACGATGATCTATCGTTAATATATTATCTACTGGCATGCACTAAGAATAAGAATGGCCTTGCACTTCTGAAACATGCATTTGCAAATTATATTAAGGTATTTTTAATGATAATTGGTGCTGGCGCATGCCAAAAAGTCAAAACCGCCATCAGCTTGCTTCTAAATAACTCATTGAAGAGGGAATCGTCAATAGTCTTACTGACGAGTAGTTGGCATTTGCTGCACTTTTACTACTTCGAAGTGGTTTCGCCTCTCATAGAGCACGAATTTTGGGGAAAGGGGCGAGGGGGTTTAAATTCGTGATTTGATTGAGTTTTTCAGCAAGTTGGCAAATCGTTAGTGTTGGATACGAGCCGAGACAAAACACTTATTTCTGATCTGCTGGCAATGAAGAAAAAGCTGGACGTTATTGTAGACAAGTGCGTTTTTTTCCCGTTTTATGGAAAAAGGGCACGATTAAATTACAACAGATTTTTTTTTTCAAAGTTTTTTTTTTATTAATTTTTGCAAAAATCAAAATATATTGTACAGTGAGCACGCTTCTGTATTCTTTTATGCCCCTCAGTCAGTACTTATACTTGAATACTTGAGCAGCTGTTTGTCATCAACATTCTTTGTTATCCCATCGATGCATCTGGCAACTTCTCCATTCGATTCCTTGTTGCGCTTTCCGAGTCCACGCAGTACCCTACAGGCGTAGTAAGGGGTCTCTCCACTTCGCTGGTGGCTCCCCCAGTGTTAGTTTGACCATGCGCGGGTACCATTCCATTATCCGCTTCGTCCATTTATTATTTCTTAAAAAATCATAAAACTGGGTTGAATTTTAGATGCTTCGAACGAAACGAGAAATTCGTACAGGCCGAGAAAGATGCCT